TTCTTTCTCTTTCTCTTTCCCTCTCTTCCTCGCTCTCTTTCTTTCTCGCTCATGGCTTTTAGTCTGCCTCGTTGCCTAATAATGCGATGCTACTGTTGGGGCTACTGCCTGGCCAGTGGCAGCCTAATTCACTCGGGACACTCAATTAAGCCAATTGGAGTAGGTGTCAGACACACTTTTTTCTGCTGCCTACTTGACTCAGGCTGACAAAGCCAAAATGGCTTCCCAACTGAAGTGTTTCCAGAGAAAAAAGAAGAAAGAGGGGGTCGCCGAGTATAATAGAACGCCAAAACTGAAGTGCTATTCTCTCCGACAAGTTGTGATAAAGTCAGGCAATTGAGGCAATTCAATTTGAAAGTTGAATGAGTGTTCCACTTGTCACCTCCACTTAAGTGCCACCACATCCGAGTAATAATTCAGCCACTGCCCATTTCCGCGGCTCACTGACCAGTGCTGAGTGCCAGTGAAAATCGACTTGTTGAAAGAGGACCACTGCTGCTGACAATGGCAATTGGTGCACTTCACGTGCATGCATGCATCATTGAAGCAGGGGAAAGAGAGCTGTCCTGAACACTACTAATACTGCTGCTGCTGCCTGCGCAAGGACATTCTCTCAGGCACTAATAATGGATGGTTCTTCTTCGCCTGTCATCGGCGGCAGTAGAGAGCAATCGTCTTCTGACTGAGTTCTTCTTCTTGCGCAGTCAGTGCAATGCTCTCGAAGAGGCCCACACTTGGTGGTCGCTGCACATCGAGGCGCCCAGCTAGCAGTGTGCAAAGACAATTCTGCAGATGACAATAGTCGGCGGCGGCAGTACTAGTGGCACTGCTGGTTGAACAGATTCGCTCCAGCTTGCAACAGAGCAGGAGACACTGGTGGCGAAGCTGCCGGCACCATATACAGCAGCCTCATCATCCTCAATCCTATATAGCATCGAGCGTGGCACATCAGCTGCAGCGAGGAGACCACTAGCCACCAGCCAACCACTTTGGCGAATCACACGACAATATTCGGCGTCCGCAGTTTGCCAGTGTAAATGCCACTGTGTATGTCACAGGCCACCACCACCACCACCACCACAGCAACGTGAGCATCCGCGTTATTATTATTATTATCGTCGCAGTGTCTTCTTCTCTGGCGCGCCAAGAGCATCAACCCTGAACAGGGTAGACCAGTTGGTCACCAGCGGTCGCAGCACACGGAACGCAACGTTGTTGCGCGATCTACATTTCATTTGAGTGGCGCAGCTTGTGAAGATCAGAGTTTGCCCAGGCAGTCCGCCAGCACTTGGACGCACTTTAAAGTACAGCAAGCCTCGTCTGACCCTTGGCAGAACAAGTCTACCATCACGTGCTGGTAAGTAGAGTGTCTGCTCTCCGAGTGGCCTTCATGCACACATTGCTCCCTCTCGCTGCCTCTCCTTCATCTTCCACCGAATTGGCGAATGGTAGTACGATCAGTGGAGCACTGAAGTACAGGCTTCAGCAGCAGCAGCAGCATCAGCAGCGCAGGCATCAGCAGTCTGCCATGCGGTTGCCTGTGCAGACGGTCGTTCGTCCTACACTTATTGCCTAGATTGTTTTCATTTCTTCGTGAGCTCCTCGCCAGAACCTCGCTGGCAGACCTTTACATCACAATTAACAGACGCGGCCAGTATCAGGTTTATCGCTGTCGATACATCTCAACTGCTGCACATTGCCATTTACAGTTATTAATCACTGGCTGCAGTGGCAAGTGGTACAACTGCGGCAGCAGCAGCAGCTCTCTCCCTCCACAGCACCAGCAGACGATTATTGGCAGCAGATCGACTGATCGTCAACTTGAATTATTGCGCGCACTAGCACGGAGGGCACAGTTGGACAGTTAGCTGCAAGATGAGCTTTGCCTGCTTCGCTCCTTTCCATACTCGTGTTTAACCTGTGCATCAATCCACTTTGATTTAGTTGTCACACGTCTGTCTCCACCATCACCAGCGCCTTCACCGGTGCCCCCTCAGCATTGCATCTCCCCAACTTAGTCATTTGTGCTTCACAGTTCTCTAGTCGAACATATTCGCCCGATTCTAGTAAATTTCCCTTTTCCAGCCTACACATCACCCATTCACCATGTCTGAAACGGCAGCTGCTGGGTACAGTCAAGTACCGCAGAAAGGGCGAGAAGTCGAGATGACCGGCAAGGGAGAAGAAGGTGCGGCGCCCACTACATCGGGCAACGAAGATGCCATTTGCCTGAAGCCCAAGATGAGCCTGCTCAACGGAATCACTGTATGCCTTGTTGTTTTTTCATCTAGACCGCATTTTCTAACATGTTTCCCTCACACAGGTCATCGTAGGATCAATCATCGGATCAGGCATTTTTGTCTCCCCCAAAGGCGTCCTAGAGAACACAGGAAGCGTCGGACTGTCACTGGGCGTGTGGATCATTAGCGGCGTCTTCTCAACCATCGGAGCCGTAAGTTTTCTTTGCCCTTTTTATTAGCGCACATGCACTAACCATTCACCTTTCAGTACTGCTATGCTGAACTAGGATGCATGATCACCAAAACTGGCGCCGACTACGCCTACATCATGCAGTCATTCGGTCCCTTTGTCGCTTTTATTCGTCTCTGGATTGAGTGTAAGACCTGCCGGGTGAATAGATGAAAACAGTTACAAGACACTTTCTTCTTCTGCTCTAGGCATGATTGTGCGCCCCTGCTCTCAAGCCATTGTCGCGCTGACATTTAGCTTCTACGTACTGCGACCCATTTTTCCAGGTATGTACCGGAAGGATGACTTCGACTCTCAAATGTCAGCATTCATTCATTCACCAAAATGCCTTCATTTGCCTACACACAGATTGCGATCCCCCAGCGGACGCCGTACGATATCTGGCCTGCATTTGCATTGGTAAGTCACGTTTATCCGATATCTTTTGAAAGTCTGTTTGAATCGAATCATCGTCTATTGCGTTCGCCTGTTGCTCTGATAAGCGGTACTGTGAATTAACATCAAGTTGCGTTCAGTGTTTTGAATTTGATCAAAGCCAGATTGCTGCAGCTCGGAGCAGTTCACACCACTGCTGCTCAAGTTGCCTCTACATGGCAACCAGGGTGTCTTACAGTTGCACTGTCCGATAGTCTGCTGGCGATGGCGAGTTCAAGTTGGTGATTAGCGGCGGCGTAACTCAATCCCAATCGCAGAGTCGTCGAGAGAAGTAGACTTGATAAAGCACGACAGTACTTTCTGTTGCTGCAGCCAATGAGGTCTTTCTGTCAGTGGCATCTTTGCCGGCCTCTTTGCCGTCCATCCGCCTGTGAACCCACCGGCGACAAATAAAGCTAACTCAAATCAATGTACTTCCATTTGCGGCACTTAATTGATGAGTACACTGCCAGCACCACTTTGGCCAATTGTTGTTTATTATTGTCTGCGTCAATGACAGTCTACTAAATGTCATTTACTGCGTGCTTCATCTTCTAGTGCTTCATTTGTTTAGGCAGACAGTCGCTTTGAGCGCCCACTGAAGCGCCCACCGTCTGCTCACTCCGGACGCGACTGCCTTTCCGGTTGGCCAGAGAGTGATGCCACTGCTGCTTCTTCGTCGTGGCCATTGTCTATACCCTTGACTGCTCTTCTCCCAATGCCTCGCTATTATCTCCTCTTACTGGTTGTCCACACCCAGACACCTTTAGGAGGACTTGGAGCAGTCTGGGCAATCGATGCTGTCACAGTAATCACAGTCAGTCAGTCAGTAGTACGGCAGCAGTGTCAGCCAGACAGATTAATTATTGTTTTACCTTCCTTCAAACCTCTTTCATGCATGAGCATTCCATGCAGCTCTTCTTCTTTGCTTTCTCTCTCACTGTCTGTCTGCAGAGCAGTCTGCCCAGAGCCTGTCGGCGACTAGGCGGTCGGCGTGCGACAAGCAGTTGGCCTTCGTTCGGTGCATCGCCACGCGCAATTGTTGTCTCACTGGCGCCATGTTTTCACTTTCTCTCTCTCCCTTTCTCTATTATGCAACCCTCATCAGTGGACATCAAAGTGAAGCATCTGGTGATCATTAGGCACAGTCTGTGCACGCCTGTGCCTGATCATTGCCTCTACTGCTCTGCTGTCCCACTATTTCTGCTTACAGCGAGCACTGCCCNGACATCAAAGTGAAGCATCTGGTGATCATTAGGCACAGTCTGTGCACGCCTGTGCCTGATCATTTCCTCTACTGCTCTGCTGTCCCACTATTTCTGCTTACAGCGAGCACTGCCCTACCATGGAAGCATCACTAATTGTTCGACTCAGGTTACCAGTCGGTAGCCGCAGTGTCCGAAGCATGCATTTGTACATAAAGGTGCGACAAGTGGCCGTCAGCTAGCACTGTCATTCACTGCTCACTCACTTGCTCAGGTATCCCCCGGCTTTTTCTGAGCATAGAACGCCACTGAATGCTTTCAATAGCTCTTCGATCAGACATGAAAGCATTTGTAGCATGCCTGTACATCGACGACTCGTGGGCTNCTTTTCTGAGCATAGAACGCCACTGTGTGCTTTCAATAGCTCTTCGATCAGACATGAAAGCATTTGTAGCATGCCTGTACATCGACGACTCGTGGGCTTCTGCCACCGTTTGATGTTTGCACTGTCTGATGGCACCGNTTTTTCTGAGCATAGAACGCCACTGAATGCTTTCAATAGCTCTTCGATCAGACATGAAAGCATTTGTAGCATGCCTGTACATCGACGACTCGTGGGCTTCTGCCACCGTTTGATGTTTGCACTGTCTGATGGCACCGTTCTTGTCTGCCTCTCTCTTTCAGTGTGCATGTGTGTGTTTGCATTTACATTGACAAACTAAAGTGAACTGTCTCTATCATTCGAACATCAGTAGCTGTTACACGCTTACACACAGCTCAGAGTGACTTGCCTTATTGGCTCAGACTTGACAAGTTAGTTGCTGCTTTCAGAGAGCAACTTGTACAACTGGCACTCGTCGCATTTCTCGGTAAACTCTAAATTAGTAATCAAGGCTAGTTCAAGTTTCATATCTTTACTTTGTATCGAGAGTGAGCAAGTAAGAGAGAGAGAGAAAGCTAGGAATATATCTGCAAGCCGTTGGCGATCAAAGTAGCCGACGAGGGGATCTCTTATCGNAAGTAAGAGAGAGAGAGAAAGCTAGGAATATATCTGCAAGCCGTTGGCGATCAAAGTAGCCG